CACAGAGACTCAGGTGTTCGTGGCCACACCTCAAAAGAATTTTCTCCAAGAACGGTTAAAGCTAATTGCAGAGCTTTGGGATGCTGGGATCAAGGTATGGTGGAGCCTATGTCTGAGGCATCTTGAATATGTGGAACTCCAGAGCAAGAGTGGCACTCAAGGCCTTTTTTGTTTACTAGCAGAGAGTTAGCCACTTATGTCTAGCTTTTAAAAAAAATGTATACATAAATAAAATAAATATAAATGTTTTGGTGGTTTGTGTGCTATGGTTACTAATAAGTCTCCTATTTTCATTTAACTCTTTTCAGGCAGAGATGCTATATAAGAATAACCCCAAACTGTTAAGCCAGCTACACTACTGTGAGAATACGGGCATTCCCTTGGTGGTGATTATTGGTGAGCAAGAACGGAAGGAAGGGGTCATCAAGCTCCGGTCAGTGGCTACCAGAGAGGAGGTGAGTAGAGCTGGTAAAAATAGAAGCAAACAGGTGTTTTTCCCCTTTTTCTAATTTTTTAAAGAATATGTCTTATGGGTGAGGAAATATCTTCAGGGCTAGTAGTGGTAGAGATGAAGTCCCATCTCAAGCAACCACTGCAGCCAGCAAGTATTGCTAAGTGGGCAAGAGGAGGACAAATGAAATCTGCATAAGTGTTTTGAAACTAGTCAATAAAATAGAAATAGATGTGGACATAGACAAATTTCCCAGAATCTGGTTCCAATGCTAAGTGGAAAGCTAAGTATCGCTTCTGATCTGCTTCTGTGGGACAGATGCAGAGTGAATTGAATCTGGAAAAATATTGGCTAAAGAGCTAGTATCACTTTCTTTTTTGTCACTTGAGAACTTTTATGTTTCAGGAGGCCATTAAACGGGAACATCTTGTGGCTGAAATTCAGAGGCGACTGTCTCAGTCTTGATCCTTGCCTGATTGTCATCTGGTGCTCTTGGTACAAAAGCTTTCATCTAACATTGAGTTCCTGATGCACTTCACAACAGCTGGCCAGCATGGGTGACAAGTGCCTTCAGCCTCCTTTCTCCTTGAATAGAGAAGAATGTGGAGACTCCTGGACTTGTGTAAAAAGCTAGTCTGCATAGAGGCAGATGTAATATGTGAAAGAGACATGCTATAGCGGAAGGTGGAGATTTGAAGTGCTAATGATGCTACCTTGAAGTGCTAAGATTGTTGCTGTGAGCAAGGCTCTTGAAGAGGCCTCCAGGTTGAAGATACTGAACCACTGCAATCAGAAGCGATACTTAGGGGGGCCGGGGAGATGGCTCAGCAGAATAAGCGCTTCCCTGGCAAGCGCAAGGGCCTGAGTTCAATTCCCAGTTCCACCAAAAAAACAAAACAACAGAAGTGATACTTAGCTTTCCACTTAGCATCGGAACAAGATTTTGGGAAATTTGTCTATATCCAGCCTTTGGCTTATCTGAGAAGTTCTGGGAATTCAGCAAAGATGGACAGTGACATTTTTCTGTCTTGACAGAAATAATGTATTTCTGTCAAGGGGCATGGCAGTGCCTGTATTAATTTGGCATATTTTTAGCCTATCCTCTGTGAACAGTAGCAGGGTATGGCTGCTATTTAACCATCTGGAACATTGAACTTAACAGCTGATTTGGAACGATGGCGATCTGGGATTTTAAAGACCATTTCCTGTTCTAGAATTACTGTTCTGACTTACCATACCTTGCCATAAAGGCTGTTCTGGAAGTGGCTGGATAATATGTTAAATAAAATGTTAGTTATAGTAGATTGTTAGCAAGGGATTCATTTGCATAGGCCATAGGAAATACTTGAGTGCACGCTGGAGAAGTCTGTGAGCTAGGGGTAACCTCTGTGGTGATGCATATGTATTCAGCAAGGAAGCAGCCCTAGATCTCTTCCCCCTTCCACATCTTGGAGATATATTCATGTTGCTAAAAATAAACATATAATGAGATATTTGCCTGAGTACTTCACTTAGGACAGGGGTTCTGAATCCGTAGACCCTACAGCTCTACTGGCTGTTGGGAACGGGGTTGTACAGCAGGAGGTGAGTGGCTGGTGAGCCAGTGAAACTGCCCACCATCACCTGAATCAGCCTGAGTTTTGCCTGCTGTCAGATTGGCCACAGCATTAGATTTTCAGAGCAGCATAGACTCTACAGAGAACCACGTATGTAAAAGGTCTAAATTGTGTGTTCCTAATGAGAATTGAATTCCCAAACCATTCTTCCCCCAAACCCCCTCCCCAGGTCTATGGAAAAAAGTCTTCCAAAAATCCGTGTGACTCGCCAGGTGTAGTAGCACATGCCTCTAATCCCAGCACTTGGGAAGCTGAGTCAGGATCACTGTGAATTTGAGGCCACCCTGGGCTACATAGTTCAGGACCAGCCTGAACTACAAAGCAAGACGCTGTCTCAAAAACAAAAACGCTCCCCCAAAACCATGAAACTGCTCTCAGTGCCAAAATAGTTGGGGACTGCTGCTTTAGGGTATTGCTGACGATTTGCCTTCTACAGTCCAATCATAGTGATTAAGCATTACAGAGAAGTGTAATGTCTTTTGGCTAGAGGAAAAATGATTTAACCAAGGGTGGCGATGTCAAAAATGAACGAACAAAACCAGACACCAGTGTTTTTAAAAAGTCCTTTTCTTCTGTCCCTTGAGGAAGGTGCAGCACACTAGCTTTGGCCCTCATGCATGCTGGTCAGTGGATATCCAGAGCCCCTAAAAAGGCTTGAGCCTTTAAAAAATTTAGGTAGGAGGGTTGCAAGTTCGAGGACAGCCTGGGTAATTTATTGTCTCAAAAAATAAAGGGGACTGGGGATGTATCTCAGTGGTAGAATGTCCCTAATTGAATACCCAGTACGCTCGTACTGAAAAAAAAAAGGGAGGGGGCTTAGGAACTCTAGGCAGTGTATGCACTGTTTATTAGCATACGTCTGCGAGCAGTGCTTCCAGTCTGTTTTCAACTTCGTAAAACAGACGAGTTGAACTAAACCGTCCTTCACGCTAGTTTTGAAAGCCTGGGCCAAAACAAAACAAAACAAAACACCTTAGCACGCGCCCTTACTTCCGCGTTGCTTCACACTCCCGCTGCGCCTGCGCCTTCCTCTTGGGGCAGAGGCGGGGCCGACACGCCTACTTCAGAAGCCTTCCAGTCCTTAGCTCGTTTTCAACGGGAAACTCTCAACTTATTGGAGGGCGACCTTGCCTTACGGCTCTCGTCCGCTTTTTACGGCATTTTCCGGCTTCCCATTCACTTCTCGGTGAAGATGGCGTCAGGCAGCGGGGTAGGTGATGTGTGTGAGGAGGTTCGTGGGTTGGTGGGGGGGGGTGCGGGTGCCTTCTCAGCACGGAATAGAGACGCACGCTGGCACCTGACTGGCTTCCGGACACCTCTTCGCGATCCCAGGGTCCAGGTTTGAGAATTAGTTTGTAAGGCCCTGACGCAGGGACCGTGAAATCGCGAAGGTCTCTTGGGTTGGGGTCTTGAGGCGACCTCAGCTTCCTTCCTGGTGAGATCCAGAAAGGCTTCGTTTTCGAAAGAGCCTGGGGCCGTCTTGTTGACAAGTCCGCAGTTTCCTCAGTTTCTCTAGGGATCCGGACACAATTAGTGACGGATCTTCAGCGCTTTTTTTCCCTACAGACAAAAAACTTGGACTTTCGCCGAAAGTGGGACAAAGATGAATACGAGAAGCTTGCAGAGAAGAGGCTTACAGAAGAGAGAGAAAAGAAGGATGGTGGGTGTCCACTTTATCGGGGCTAAGGGTGTCTATCATAGAAGCGATGGAGAGCGGGCGGGGACTTAAGATGAAGCCATCCTCCTACTTCGTGTCACTTTTGGCGGTGTTGCCGGCCATGCCCTCGGTTTCCAACCATTCCTCCGTTCGGAACGCCCCACAAATTACAGTGAGGAGATGGACTGAAGTGGTTTTGAAGTGCTCTTCAGCCATGTTATCCTCTGCTTTCTTTGCTGTCTTTTTGCTTGGTTCATTTAGTACTTTCCTGAAAGACAGAGGCCCTGGAATTCTTAGTATATCAGAAGTTAAGTGGAGTGTTTTGCTGTTGAACCTTACAGCTATGGATGATACGCTCTATTCATTGAAATTTCTTGAGGAAGAGGAGAACATTCTTGGCCCAATCAGAAATCCTTCCGAGGGGCAGGGGAGATGGCTCAGTAGAATAAGCGCTTGCCTGGCAAGCACAAGGGCCTGAGTTCTATCCTCGGTTCCGCAAAAAAAAAAAAAAAAAAAAAAAAGAAAAGAAAGAAATCCTTCCGTGTAGTTTGAGAAAAGCGCTGATGCTCACTAGGAATAAGCATTTGTTTCATTTAGTGCTTAGTGGTGCTATGGCTTTGACCCTTGTAGGTCAAGGAGTTGTGTTCCTCTCCTACACGGATTCCTTTTCAAACATTCTTTTCCTATACCACTTGCTCACACTTTCAGCTTTTGTGTAAGATATATAATATAGTGCTTGAAATGCCAGTTACATGAACATGTAATTTCTAAATGTTGGCCCTTTTTAAAAATTTGACCCAAAGCCCCCAAATCCCATTTTGTGTTATGCACAGGTTATCTGACTGAAAGCATTACTGATATTCTTAATCCTCTTTTGAAAAGTTTACTTCTTGAGAAAATTTAGAACTCCATTCCCATCTCAGTGAATTTTTTTTTTTTTTTAAATTAGTATAGGGTCTAGCAGGGTCTCACTACAGATTGGACTCAGAGTGATCCTCCTGTTTTCAGCCTCCCAAGTGCTGGGATTACAAGTGCATGCCATCATGCTTAGTCTCAATTGGGTGTGTGCCACCATGCCCAGTCTCAGTCAACATTTCAGCGTGTCCCTGGGCTTGGGGCTGACATGGTACACTTTGAACCTCACTCCCTGCATCTGCTAAGGCAGGTGCTTTACTCTGCTAAACTATCTGGCCAACCCCAGTCAGTGAATTAATGAGTACAGAAAACACATTCCTTTTAGACTTGTTGGCTGTATTATTTATTTGTCTTTTTGAGACAGGGTCTCACAATGCATTTCAGGCTGGCCTTGAGCTCACTGTGGCCTAGACTGGTCTCGAACTCGCAACAGTCTCTTGAGTGCTGAGATTATAGGCATGGAGTGCTGGGATTACAGGGATGCGCCACTAGGCCCAGCAATTTATTTTTTAAGATAGGGTTTTACAGGCCGGATAGATGGCTCAGTGGAATAAGCAGTTCCCTGGCAAGCACAAGGGCCTGAGTTCAATCCCTGGTTCCGCCAAAAAAAAAAAAAAAAAAAAAAAAAAAGATAGGGTTTTACTAGGTTGGCCTTGAATTTAAGATGATCTTCCTGTGTCAGCCTCCCAAGTGCTGGGATTACAGGCATGTGCCACCTTGCCTGGCTATTCATGTATTTTTGAGACAGAGTTTCACCAAATTCTCAGGGCTGGCCTTGATTTTGTGATCCTGCTTCAGATACCAAGCACTTGGGGTTACAGGAAAAAGTTGAGAAGTGTTTATCATTTTTCTGTGCTCATATTCTTTGCTGTTGTAAATTGCTACTTGAAGTGTCTGTGTGTCCCAACTTTCAAGAATCAAAGAAATGAGAGTAGTTCTGTGAATTTTTGATTTTATGTATTCTTTCTCTTTTGGTTGAGAAACTATAAAGGGACACTCTTATCATGTTTCAGGAAAACCAGTGCAGCCAGTCAAGCGGGAGCTTCTGCGGCACAGGGACTACAAAGTGGACTTGGAATCCAAGCTTGGAAAAACAATTGTCATTACAAAGACCACTCCACAGTCTGAAATGGGAGGGTAAGTGGCTTTTTGGGTTTTTTCTAAAGCTCAGAATAAGTTTAATGAACTACCTATGTTGGTTTTAAGTGTATTGAGGAGGGTCCATGGTCCCAAGGTAACAGTCTTATTGCTTATAATTCCACTCTTAGATTTTTTTTTCACCCAAGGTTTTAACACAGTAGTGTCTCCAAAAGGGGTGTTTGTGAACTTCTTCATGTTGGAATTATAAATACCCCTGAATGTTCTAACAGGGATTATTGATTTTGTCAAAAGAAATGAAACAACTACTGAGAACTTTTCTAGGAGAGAAATTAGGTGGAGTGGGAAAGGAGCCAAGAGACTATTAGTGGTACAAAAATGGGTGTTGAGGTTCTAGAATAACTAGAAGGCTAGTTAGGGAAGGTCCCTGGTTGTGAACTTTTTCCCTAGACCAAGGCTGA